TTTTGAGTATTTTGACTCTAATGCCATTATTTATTGAGTAAATTTGAAAATCTCTTTTACCAAAATGATTAGCGAAACGAACTCTACAGAGGCCTATAGACGAAAAAAAGATTTCTGAAAAACTCATATTTTTCATGATTGACCATTAATGAAAATATTTATTAAAAATAGGTGTAGAGTTAATTTTGTCTATGGTAGTATGATCGAGACAGATACACGATCAGTTCCAATGAATGACTTTTCTTGACACAAATCTACTGATTAATGACTTTTCCCAGATCCTAAAAACCAATTCCTAAGATAAAATGCAAATTCTTTATGATCCTATCGGATCGTGCATCAGAATTCTATATGATCATATAAAATAATACGAAAAGTCGTCGCCTCGGAAATCTTGTGTCAACCTACATACTAACTTCCGTAGAAGACATGCTACTATTATCTTCCATGACAACGCAAAACTATCTTGAGGGTATGGGTACGTGTATCAGTGAAAAGATATGATGATCCTCACCCACACCCACCCTCTTAAGAAATAGGCTTGTCTTTTATCAACATATGTACCTACATTGTAATTCGTAATTATACAAAATGAATCATTCGAGTGGGTATATATCTTTGTATTTTAGAATTTTGATCGATAGTATGAACATAATATATTGATTATAAACTGAAGTTTTAAATTGGAATCGTTTATTATAAGCTGTATAAGATAATGGATCAACAATTATCGAATATTAATTTAAAAGCTTACAATGCGATTAATACAGATAATGTAGACATAAATTACGATACGATCACATCTCGCAATGGTAATGAAAATATGCATTTACTTTCATCGATCAAATCGTCTGAAGACATGACAATGAATTCAATTGGTTTTGATCAAATTGCAAGCAGTCATGTTGAGCTAATGAAACTATTTCAGAGAGACCTATCTCTATTAACATATAAAGTCGATATTCTACAAATTAATTCTGATATCAACACAATACTTATGACAGATATATTTCCATTGATTTATGTTCGTTGTAAAGACGCTATTGAAGAAATTATAGCTATTATGAAAAAACAAGAACAACTAATGTTAAATATATTTTTGAAACAAAATCTAGAAGAAAATGAAAATATTGATCAGTCTATTCCGACCGATCCATTTCCTGAAACTTTTTCCACGGATATGGATGAATGTAATATCGATAATACAAACGAATCTGATGGTGACAAACAAGAAATGGAACAAGCTAAATTTAATGTTCAAAAAGTATCTTATTTTTCTATACAATCATTAACATCTTTATTGATGATTTTAATTAAATCAGCAGAAAAAAATGATCCAACATTTGTTCAAGAACTATTAACATTAGCAATTCAATTGTGTGATCAAATTCCAATAAATTCTTTTATATCATTCAAATTCTCACCAATTATTGATAGTTACTGGTTCAAATCCTTACAACCATTGACAAATTATATAAATGAATTATCATTATCACAAAATGTCATGATAGCAAATAAAGCTATGAAAATTCTATTGAGTATTTCTATCGCAAAAGCATCATTTGAAGATATTCTACCGATTCTAAGAAAATTGATATTCAACAAAGTTAATATATATAATGCTCGAAATTTATTTATACGATTGAATCATACCATGACCAAAGCTCTTAATAAAATGGAGAAGATAAAACAACAAAAAAATAATGATTCTGATAATAAATTTGAAGAAGTCATAAATGATAATGTAACATCAATTGAATCAATAGGTAAGAGTATGATTCTATTAGAATCAATACACTTATATCTGCTGATCTATTCTAAAAAAAGTCTGAGTGTGGGTAGAGAAACATGACACTCACACCTATCCTCATCATCGATATGAATCAAAGAAAAATTTTCTAAGTTAAATATCATGATCTATTCTTTTTTAGACTATTTGAAAGTAATTGGTGCATTTCCAAATTCACGATTAATTCGATTAAATGAAAAAGAATTTACTGGACCGTTTGTTGCATCTATTATTTTGGCACACATTGATTTTTATAATGAAATTCATTCAATTGAACAATTCAAACAGGGTTCAATTGATAGTTCAATTTCATTCGAATTTCATTTGGATACATTCGAACAATTATTTCATATTATCGAACAATTAATAACAACCAAGTTAACAGATTCAAATATAGTCATTCGTCATATTCTAACTGTTTGTGTAAGGTTATTTAGCACACATTTAAAATTTTTATGTACTGCAATGTCAACTATTGACAAAGATTTATTTTCGATAAGTGATGAATGGAAAAAAGTCATTCAACTTACATCGACCAAACCAAATTATCATATTGATTTATCAAGATTTTTAAATGATAATAAATTTAATTTATGGTTTGATCTTTTATTGAAATTAATTAATAATAACAATGAAAATTTAGAACAAATAACTATTTGTCGAGAAGCAACTAAAGCTATTATTTATATAATTGATAAAAAAGTATCATCATTTGTGGAAAAATTATCATTTTTTCATACAACTATTATTGAAAATAAATATTCTTTATTAGCTGAACAAATATTTCCAGAATTGAAGAAAAGTGTTATCTTATTAAACTGGATTGAAATATTAATCAATGATGACAATTCATACAAGTCTGCTGAGAAAACAGTAACATCAAGAATATTGTATTCATTTATTGATATTTATTTCAATTCATTACACCATATCAATCCAAAACACAAAGATCAAATCAAACAAATATTACTTAAATTTCAAGAACTTTTATTAATTCGATTAATATCACCATCTCGAATTGAAACTATTCTAAACAAGGACAAAACTCAAGATGAATTACATATACTTTCTATTTCTCATAATGCTATATCGTTTGTGATTGATTATTTCACTTATATGTTAAATATTTGCAATGATAATGATTTATTGAATTCAATATTTGTTAGTTTGTGTTTAATGATAAAAACAGAAAATATTTTTAATTTTGACATAATTCAATCGATTATTACAGCACTATTACCAATAGTAGTAAAACATCTATTGAAAAATATTATCAATTATGAATATGAAAAAAATAATTTATATTCCATATGTTGGCTAATAGGTAAAATGAGTAATCTGATGATTATTGGTACTGAACAAAATTCATTAGAATTAAAATATAATAATAAATTGAAATCCATTTTATTTTCTGGTGGATGTGAACAAATAATAATTGAAAACAACAAATATCTGTTCGATTTATACAAATCGAATCTTGCTGTTTATAGTCAATTTAAATCATATAATGAAATGCAACAATCATCATCATCATCTTCAGATGATGAAGAATTTTTAATGTCTATTTATAATAATACTGGTGAAGGTGCAAGATTAATATCAAATATGAAAGAATATGTTGAAGATAGACAAAAATTATTGAAATCAATTGAACAACAAGCAAATGATGCATGTGCCGCTTTATTTGCTGTTTATATTAAACATTATCGACAAATTGATCTTGCTAAAAAAGAATTATTACGAATAAATGATAAAAAACAACCTCATAATAAACTATTATCAATTTATGAATATGCAAATGATATTAAAATTTTATTTACTACAACAAAAGCACAAGATGGTAATTTAGATGAACTTTATAAACAAATTAAAATGAATACATTATTTCTACTCTTACATGTTAAAGAAACAAATTTAATATCAATCATTGAAGAAGATGAACATTTATCATCAGTACCAATTTTAATAAATGCACAACCAAAAAAACGTATATCATTTCAACGACAAGTATCAGGATGGTCAAAAGCTAAATATGTTCTTCGATTACTACGTAATACAATGCAAGCATGTATTCGATTTAAAAAATTGATTTTAGCTAAAAGACAAACTAAAGAAATACATAGTATTGAAAGTAATTTAAATCGATTAATTGATGCTTTTGTTTATGGTGATTTTTATAAAAGTACTATACCAATAACAAATGAAGAAAAGAAATTCGAATTAGATGAACTTTGTCAATGTATGTCTCGATACTATGAACGAGCAGTGATACGATTAATTACATATCAATTTATTCATAAATTTATTCAAAATCTATTAGAAATTAATGATCAAAATCGTATTATAATAATTTTAAATCTTTATTTACCACATTTAAGAAATTCCAATATCGAATGGTCCTATTTGGAAAATATTCAAGCAACAAATAATCAACTTAAAGAACAAATTACTAGTACATATTATTCAATTATTAAAACTATATTGTCTTTTATTTTAAAATTAAAAACATTAAAACCAAAATTATTAGTACAAAACATGTTCAATTTACTTAATTTATCCTATGAATCTATTGATATTATCTATTTAAATCAGAATCAATTTTGTGAAACATTATTTGTATCATTTATTAGTTTTACTAAAGATTCAAATCATATCATTTCATTGGATACAAAATTAACTGCATACAATTGGTTTCGTTTTTATATTTTCAAATTATGTGAAATTATTCAATTAGATCAAATCAAGAGTACATCAAATAAAATCATAGAAAAACAACAACAATATATCTTTAATAAACTTATTTTAAATGAAATGAAATCATTAAAACAATTAAAACAATCATTACCAATAGATGTAAAACAGGATATTGATCAAGAGACAGAAAACCGAAAATATTCGTTAAATAATGCTGCAATCGATTGGTTTATTAAAGCAGCTACAAATATTGAAAATAATATATCAATTCATTCAAGTAAATTATCATCAAAACTTGATATTGAACTTTATACAAATCAATTGTTAGTACTATTACTTCGATGTATTTATTTATATGATAGTATTCGATCAATTTGTGCAAATATTGATTATATAGAAGAATTATTATATATTTATCATAGTAGTAAAAATCAAATTACAATTTTACTTGTATTAAAAATTTTACGTAATATAATTCCATTACTATCAGACAATGAAACAACTATTATTATTATTATGAAAAATCTATTAAATGAACTTTTATTTTCAATTGGTACAAATTTTATTAAACAGAATATGACATTAGAAATAATGAATGAATTAATAAATGTCTATCGTACAATAATATTTTTAAAATCATCATGGCAAATGATGGGAATACAACTTATTTTTAATAGTATTGTATCATATGTAAATGAGATCAATATGAAAACATTCAAAATAATTGAAACTATTGAAATGACTTATGTTTTTGCATCATTATCTATTTTAGGTGGTTATATTCCATCATATTGTCAAGGTTCTATTGTTCAAGTCTATCCAAATGAAGACAGCAATGAATTTGATTTAGCATTAATTATTGATATTAATACAGAAAATCAAAATTCTGATTCATCTGAAATCTTACCCTATTTTATTCAATATTTACAAACAAATAAAACTGAATGGATTTCAGGAGAAAAATTACGAATTCAAATTAATATTCTACCATCAAATTTATTTATATTAACAGATGTCAATGATTCAAATTCTATGATACATTCCCTCTTTGATGCATTAGGTTATATCATACAAATTGATACATCAACAACAGAATCTTTAATATTATTAGAACTAAAACGTCGTTCAATATCAACATTGAGTTATTTATTAAATGATAAAAAACTTCTTGAAATATTCATGGAAAAATCTTATGTATCAACAATTGCGAAATTAGCAATGTATGATTCTTTATTGAAAAATTGCTCATTACCTATTGATTTACGTTTATTTAATCAAGAACATTTAGAACAATATTGTTTAAGTTTAGATAATTGTGTACGATTTGAACAAATTATAGAAACTGAAAATAATAATACTAATAATGAAACTACTGAACAAATCAATAATATAAAAAATTCAAATGACACATCATTTTATGTTTGGAATCATAATGAATTTACTCCAAATTCATTAATTGTGAATACTCTATCAATAACTGCATTAGAATACAATGGATGGAAACCTTATGCATCGAAATCAGAAATTGAATCATTTGAAAAAGGCCGAATTGGAGCTAGAGAAATATCAATTGTTTCTTTACCACGTGATACTATTGATCCTAGTATAATCAAAGAATGCGGTGATAAACATAAATTCAAAGGAGAAATTTATCTAACTACTTATCGTCTATTTGATTTATTTCCAACGGTTATCGTTGATGATCTACAATTGACAAAAGGTAAATGGTATTATTGTGTTCGATTACCAATCGGTGGTACTGTTCAAATCGGTTGGGCAACAACAGGATTTACAAGTGCTCCTTATAATGATCGTGGTGTAGGTGATGATAAATACTCATGGTCATACAATGGATTACGTGGTTTTTTGTACAACAATGGCGAATTTCAATGTTCATCTAGTGGAATTGATTGGAAAAAAGATGATGTTTGCGGATGTGGAATAGAAATCGATGGTGAAAATACTCGAATTCAATATTGGTTAAACGGAACATTTTTAGGTACATTTTTTGAACATCAAACAAATATTGGACAATCAAAAATAAAATGTAACATGTTACCACATGGACATACAACATCCTATTTTCCTGCTGTTTCTCTTCGAGTACCCTTTTTAGGTTTAGGTTGTATTGAATTCATATTTAGTCCTGAAGATATGACTAAATGTCCATTACCAAACGGATATAAACCATTGTTAGTACCACAAGAAATCAATATTGAAAATTCGATTGTTCCTTATCCATACAATGCCTATTTAGTTCAATGCGATGATATAGAAAATTATGTTCATAAAAGACAAAGTACTAATTCAACAAATGTTCTATGTGATTTGATTAATGATTATCATCTTAATACTTCATACAATTTAGATAATTCTGAATTATTTTTATCAAAAGATAGTAGTGGATTTCCTTTATCAATAGTCAATTATCAATCATCGCTTACTATCAGTTTTGATTTTGATATTCTTAATAGAACTCTCAATGATACAAATGAACAATTTGATATTCAATTATTTACATTAGAAACAACTGAACAATTTTCCGTACAAATACCATTGAATAAAATTGATAAGAATTCAATACGAACTGCTATTGTAATTTGTTTAGATGAACAAAAAATTAAAATTTATTTGAATAATCTATGTCAAATAATTAATACTAGTAATGAAATACAAACAATAACAAATTTTAATTTTCATATTTTACCAAATCTAGATGCTAGAATAAAAAATATAGGTATTTGGAAATATGCACTATGTGAAGAATATATTCAACGTTTGTTTACTTATAGTCTATCTTATGTTGCAATTGATTATAAACAATTAAAAGAATATCGACAAAAAATGAATACATTTACATTTAGTAAAAATCAACAACAATTTGAAAATGAATTCCTACTTTCATTTAATGAATCATTTGAAGAAAGTCTATGGAAGAAAAAGAAAAAACAAGTTGATATTGATGAATCGAAATATTTTAAAACTATCGATGAAACTAATGAATCAACAATACAATTATTTGGTAATAAAACTTATCTTGTTCTTTCAAAATCCATTGAACAATGGTCAGAATATACATTAATTCTTGATATTTCTATACCTAATTTTCCAACATTCAATGAACATTTAACAATTTTCTCAACAAATTCAGAAACTGGAATTTATATTACACATAGTGGTAAAATATGTTTATTTAATGATGGAAAAGTAAATCAAAGCAAAATTATCTTGAAATTAAATGAATATATGCGTTTACTTATTATGGTTCAAAAGAAATATATTGAAATTTATCTAAATGGAATATTACAAATACATTCCCATATTGATATTGATCAATTTACATTAGAAAATAATCGAATTGATTTATTTCGAGAACTAGATTCATCAATGAATACGACAAACGATGATATTGTTCGTATTGAATGTAAATCGATTACATTTCTAAATGAATTAATAGAATCTGATTTAATTAATAAACAATTGAAATCATCAAACTATTCGTTAACATCATTAGTTGCACTACCATATTCATTAATAGCATCAAATTTAATTGCAATTGGTTACAAAGACGAATGGATAAAATTAGCTATGAAAAAGTATAATACTACAAATAGTCAATTAATTGATCAAATTATACGTGAAAATAAAGATGAATTATTAAAAACCGATCATGACAATCAACGAAAACATGATTTACTCATTTTATCAAGATTAAATCCATTAATTGAACTAGAAAATATTTCTGAATTCAATAATGATGACGAGATAACATTCGTAGGTCAAATTATATGTGATTGTGGAAATTTTAAAGAAATATCTAAGTTTTTAAATCATTCGATCAGTACAGAAAATACGGATATCAATAAATTAGATACGAATATGAGAGTACAATATGACAAAACATGGTATCAACAAAAAGTTCATGGTTTAGATGCACCTGATAGTGTAATCGGATGGTTAAATGATACAACATCGAAAACAGATTTTTGTGATGTTTATCAATTATTTGATTTAAAAAAATCTGAAAAACAATTTATAAATGAAATATTAGATCAACGAAAATCAATTTCTAAGTCCATTCAATATTTTCATAAAGAAATATCCCGAAAACAATATTCAGATTCACGTTTGGCCTGTGAACATGGATTAATATCGATCTATGCTAGTAATATTATTCTTAATGTATTGAAATTATGGTCAAATAATGATAGAAATTTATTTCCCGTGAAAAAACTTGGTGATTATTTATTTATTGTCAAATTATTAAAATTATTGGATTATCATTATACATATAGAAGCATGTATATAGATGAAAATATTGATGGAATAACTACATTAATTCATTCAATTCTTCAATTTGAAGTGAAAGAATTAATTAAACATATAAGTATTAATAAAGAAGCTACCGTTAAAATATTACAAAATAAAGCTCCACTACTTTACGAATTACAAAAAGATATTATTATTCATTTAGTTCGTTTCGTATTAAAACCTTCATCATGTTTATATGAATTTAACAATCAAGAATCATCAATTATTGATGATGAAATTATGATTAAACAATCAAATTTTAATTTCATTTTCAAAATATTAAATATCTTCATTAAATTGGCAACTGACAAATCTATGAAGCAAGATGAAATCGATTCATTTCTTCCACTTCTTTTCCGAGATTCATTCATTAATCTACTGTTCCATTTATTTTTATTACTTCCAAACCATCATTCAAAAACATTTATTCTTCGTCTATTCATTACGTAAGTTGAAATATTTGCTATTCGTATTCAATTGATTGATAATTAATTAGAAGTTTATATAAAAGCATATGTTTGAAAAAAACTAATTCTGTTAATCTTCATAAATAATAATCCTATACTACTAATAAATGCTCGATTTCTGTTCAA